TGATGATCAGTTTCACAGACTGGTCTAGAAAAACAGAAGACTACCAGACAGAGGCCCTCTTGGTCTTTTCTGTCATTAGAAGTTACATCAAACCACCTGGGGGGTGATTTCTCGCTTTCTGTCTCTCTGTCTTTCTGGTGAGCGCACGCGCCCTATAGCAAAAGAAAAACAAAACAAACAAAAAAACTCTCAAAAAAAAAAAAAGAAAAAGCATTTTCTACCAAATTAAGCATCCTGATCAACATTGTGTGCAAGGGGATTATATTCTTTACCTAGTTGTAAAGATCACCAATAGGTTAAAAGTAAGTGGCTTTATTTGATGTCTGATGATCAGTTTCACAGACTGGTCTAGAAAAACAGAAGACTACCAGACAGAGGCCCTCTTGGTCTTTTCTGTCATTAGAAGTTACATCAAACCAAAATTTGCAAAGAAATTTTGGAAGTACCTTTTATTTAAGGCATATATTATTTTTTTTATGTGTAAAAGAGTCTTTTAAGGAATTTCTGCTACCTGGTTGCTAAATTTCCCTGAACCAGTCAGGGCAAGATTTAGTGAATATTCATATATGCTGTTTATTTAGGTTTTTTTTTTTTTAATGCTTCTTTATTATCTCTTTGTGGTAACAAGCTTTTAAAAACATTTTCTGAAGGTTTCTAAAATGTCTCCCACAAAACCACAACCGTACTAAGGCAAACTCTACTGCCTGTCAGGGACTACGCTATGGACCAGCAATGTCTTAACTTGATACCTGTTCCTGCTTAACTTATTTGGAGCTTTTCCAAGCCTAACCACTCTGCTTGGTTTCTAATTCAGGGGTGGAAAACCTTCTCTCTAAAGATCCAGATAATAAATATTTTAGGCTTTGTGGGTCACATATGGTCTCTCTTGCATCATATTCTTTTCTTTCCTTCTTTTCTTCATAACTCTTTTAAAAACTGAAAAAAAAAATTACTCTTAGCTCATGGTCCATACAAAACCAGGACATGGGCCTCCTGAATTAGGCTCTAAATAACAGCCATTGGAAGCAAACATGCAACTCTGGGTGAGAGGGTAATTATTGTGGGCACTTGCTTGTGAGAGAAAGACAAAAATAATGAGTGAGAAAGAAAACGAAGAGAAATAAAAGGAAGAGTGGTAAAGGACATAAGAAGAAAAGATGAAGGCTGACAGAAAGGGGTGAAGAGGAATAAAAAGGGGAGAAAAAGAGAAAAACCGAGTGAGCCAGAATATGGAAGCTAGGGCACAGTCTCTCCTTCTTTTCCAAGAGCCAGGCAGTTCTGAGAGGCACCTCCCCAGCTGCTTTCAAACATTGAGGTTGCTGCCCAGCCACTGATCAACATCCCAAGAAGTGAAATGTGGGCTTCACCTCTGAAAACTTCCACTTGGTTTTACACCAAGTGAAATGGAACACGAGATTCAGGGCCCAAGCAAATGGCTCGTGTTTTCTTTGGGACACTTGGGCTGTGTCTACGCAGGGAAAATTTTGATGTACTGGCTGACTGACTCCAGTGCATATGATTAATGTATATATAGGGCAAACCAGGATAATTCAGACCTTTTTTCTTCCACAGCAGGTTTTCAACTGGAATTATCTGGATGGTTGCCTCAACTCTCCACTAGGTTTTGCCAGGATAAGCACAGCTAGTATAGTATGCAGGAGACAGGGACCACTCCCTCTCTCCAAGATTCCCTTCAACACCCACACCCTGTGCAGCTGAGCCGAGTGGGATCTGTCCTTGTAGACATTTCTTCTGGGGAAATATACATTCTGCCTAACGAGTCTCTAAGAAGTCCCTCAAACCCTAAATATTGCATTTTGCTTAGTTGTTAGATGGTAAAATATAAGAAACTGATGAAGGAGAGAACCACAATAATGGGGGAAAAATGTTCCCCTGTTTCCTTCCCCACTTCAGAAAGAGATTTGCAAAGACAAAGCCTATGAGATCCCAATAATATCATTAGGAAATATGTGCATAGTTTTCTTATGACTGCAGACACCTGAGTTGTAAGCATTTCCTTTATGTAATAGAGAGAGGTATAGATACAGCTTTTGTTTTTAAAAGTATAGTTGAAAAGTACATCCAGACTACCTCCCAACACATAGAAACAGTGTTATTCCAAAAAGGTGTTCTTTAGGAGACAGAGTGCCCTGGCAAGGTTTGTACAGAACAACTTTTTACAATTAAAATGCAAGCTTTAATTAAGGAGGGAAGAATACTTCTCAGGTTAATCCTTTGGTAATTATTTTGTAAAGAATCCTTCTATCAAATCAACAATTAACTTCTAATTCACCTGGTAAAACTGCATTTTCATAGACTCCTGCACTGCTATGATTCTGGGTTTGGGTTTTGTTTTGTTTTAGAGGAAAGGTGAAAAGAATAATGGGAACGATGCATGATAGTTTATTTTACTGTATCTTACAGATCCAACTTCTAATGATGAAGCTTCCCACATAACTTCTTTCTTTTTGGGAGCAGAAAGAAAGGAAGAAAATGAAGAGTCAGAGCTGTTGATACATTGGGATAATATTTTTCCACTCTATTGAAACTTCCTACCTTTCCTTCCATTCTGTTCCACCAGTTCTTTAAGTAATAATTACAGAGTGATAACTTCCCAATTGCTACTTTGTGGTGGTTTTCATTTTGTTTTTGTAGATTTCACTGGTGATTTTATCCCCTGAATATGCAATATCTAAAATAAAACACTCACAATTCTTAAAAGGTTCCCTCCCAACTTAGAACTGCCTTATCCCCGTAGATACAGTCATTGTAACTATTGCATGACAAAGTCCTGAAATGTATTAAGTCAAAACCAAAACAGCAGTGACAACAAATTGTTAAATGGCCAATTATATGTGTATCTCTTAAAAAGTTTTTTGTTTTGTTTTGTTTTTCTTGTTTTTGTTTATCTGTAGGGTATGTAGAGAGTTTGTTCATTTGCATTTGTGAAAGTTGTCTTGCTGCCAAGTGGTGGAAATAAAACCCTCGAAAAGAGAGATCATCTGTAAAATATGCATCTGTAAAATAAGTTTCTCTTTTCAAATGGCTTGTACTGGGCTGTTTGGTGGCCTCACACTATATGCTGGATGTGACTCCTTGAAAGCAGTCTGTAACCTTGGGCAGATTTGCAGTGACAAATGTTGCTATGCTTCTGTAAGCACTGCTTCTGCTAGAGGGCACTGTATATTAGACAAGGCCTTGTGCTCTGCCTCCCAACTTAGAACTGCCTTATCCCCGTAGATACAGTCATTGTAACTATTGCATGACAAAGTCCTGAAATGTATTAAGTCAAAACCAAAACAGCAGTGACAACAAATTGTTAAATGGCCAATTATATGTGTATCTCTTAAAAAGTTTTTTGTTTTGTTTTGTTTTTCTTGTTTTTGTTTATCTGTAGGGTATGTAGAGAGTTTGTTCATTTGCATTTGTGAAAGTTGTCTTGCTGCCAAGTGGTGGAAATAAAACCCTCGAAAAGAGAGATCATCTGTAAAATATGCATCTGTAAAATAAGTTTCTCTTTTCAAATGGCTTGTACTGGGCTGTTTGGTGGCCTCACACTATATGCTGGATGTGACTCCTTGAAAGCAGTCTGTAACCTTGGGCAGATTTGCAGTGACAAATGTTGCTATGCTTCTGTAAGCACTGCTTCTGCTAGAGGGCACTGTATATTAGACAAGGCCTTGTGCTCTGCTTAGTAAAGACAGCTCTCTTGTGCAGCACCTGTGTCCAAGTCTCCATTTGTTAACACATGTGTGTGTTTCCCTTTTTGGCAGATTAGATTTGAGAAACATGATTGCAAAAGGATTATTCCATGGGATAAATAAATCTAGAGTTAGTTGAGTGTTTTTCTACCATGTAAAAGCCATAACATATTTACTTCACTTTCAGAATTGCTCCACAAAATAGGGCAAAAACTTACTTCTCAGTTGATAGACTCTTTCACCAATCATTCCACATCACCCCCCAACCCCAACTCTTCTTCCTCAGAAAGAAAAGAAGCTGGTTCAAATAAAACTTACAGGCACATACCATTTCCCTATCTCTAGGTTTAGAGAGTAAAATGGAGAACCTAAGTTTTCAAATGACAGAAGAACTTCTGAGAAACAAGCCAACTATGGTTCTACAAGAGATTTTCTACCATGTATTTAACACTTAAGTAGTCAGTATATATAGCTCCCTGCCGACACTTGCTAAGGAGTTGAAAACTAGGGGCACTATGTATGATTACTTGCCAATTGAAACTAAATAATATTAACTTAAAAAGAAAGAAAATTAGAGAGGAAAACCAAACCAAACACATGAATACAGCATCTTGCATTTATTAAAAGCTTCATTTCATTTTTCATCAACTCACTAATTGTTCACTTTAGAGTACTAGCCTGGACATCTGTCAAGAATTAAATGATTGAGGGAAACAGCAGTTAGTGTAATAGCTATGTCACTGGACTCCCACGTAGTAGACCGTGGTTTGCGTCCCGGACCCGGTGGCTTAAAACTCATGCTGGGTGCGTGTGCGTGCGTGCCCAAGATCCCAAGAGGAGAATGGAGGAGAAGGGACTGCGGCGTGACCATCCCCCCTGGGGGGTGATTTCTCGCTTTCTGTCTCTCTGTCTGTCTCTGTCTGTCTGACGAGCGCATGCGCCCTATAGCGAAAATCTCTCAAAAAAAATAAAAATACAAAAATAAAGAATTAAATGATTGAATAAATAAAAATCACTGAAATATACCTAGGCAGTGAACAAATCATAGTTTATCATGTTACAGAACACTGTAACTAATAATGAAGGGAAAGAAAATAAGAATTATAAGCAGTTTTTCTTATTTTTTTTCTTAAGGAAATGGGCTTTTCTGAATTGTAATTGAAATTGTCAATACAAGAAAAGAAAATGTGATGGACTTTAGTAAAAGACTGGATCTTTACTATACTAGAGTGAAAACCTGATGCTTTAAAGACTGGCAATGTCTTTGTTTTACTCTCTCTCTCTTTCTGTGATTTGTAGCATACATTGAAGATCTCACAAGATGTGTTGAGCAAAGCAGAAGACTTATTATCGTGCTAACTCCAGACTATATTCTCAGACGGGGATGGAGTATTTTCGAACTGGAAAGCAGACTCCATAACATGCTAGTCAGTGGAGAAATCAAAGTGATTTTGATTGAGTGTACAGAATTAAAAGGGAAGGTAAATTGCCAGGAAGTGGAATCACTAAAGCGCAGCATCAAACTTCTGTCCCTGATCAAGTGGAAGGGACCCAAAAGCAGCAAATTGAATTCTAAGTTTTGGAAGCATTTAGTATATGAAATGCCCATCAAGAAAAAAGAAATGCTATCTCGGTGCCATGTTCTGGACTCTGCAGAACAAGGACTCTTTGGAGAACTGCAGCCTATACCCTCTATTGCCATGACAAGTACTTCGGCCACTCTGGTGTCATCTCAAGCTGATCTTCCTGATTTCCACCATTCAGATTCAATGCAGATGAGGCACTGTTGCAGAAGTTATAAACACGAGATGCCAACCACCACCTTGCCAGTACCTTCTTTAGGCAACCACCATACTTACTGTAACCTGCCTCTGACACTACTCAATGGACAGCTACCCCTTAATAATACCCTGAAAGATACCCAGGAATTTCATAGGAACAATTCCCTGCTGCCTTTATCATCCAAAGAGCTTAGCTTTACCAGTGATATTTGGTAGTGAAAAATATGAATTCCTCTGAATAGTTATATGAGCATACAGAATTTTTATGCTATACCAAGCATAAAGTACACCTAATAGCATTGAGGTGCTGAAAATGTGTTTGAAGGGAAAAGGCACACAAACTGCTTTTGTACTTAAATGTTTTTGTTTACATTTCCAGAATAGTGGGGGGGGGGGAAAGAAGGACCTGCTTTTGTAGTCTACTAGCTTGTTCCAATGTACAGTTTTGATTTCTTCCTAAAAACAAAAAATTTAAATCCCGTTGTCTCAGAGTAGGTTTTATGATACCATATGGACTGCAAGCTTACTAGGTGAGCTATCTTTCCCCATATTTTTTAATATTCCCATGTTTACATGGTATTCGAAATAAGGAAACCTTAGACTTTAATTGAACTTGAAAATCTTAAACGAAGTTTAAAGGGAAAAGATAACTTCTATAGAGTAACTGAAAACTCAGGAATTATCAAGAAAGAAATGTTAAGATACTCCAATTGGAAAATTGTTTGTAAAGGAAGATCAGTTGAGGAAAAAATGTGATTGAAATATTTAGAACTTCTTCAACATAATGGACAACATATGTAGACTAAAACAACAGCTTATAATAACAGCTCTTAGTTTTATTAGGCAAGCACAAGTAGGCAAACTGGTAGTTAGATAAACAATGTGCATTTCTTAAGCAAATGAATAAACAGGCAACAAGCTCTTTTAGATGATTTTGAACAACACTTATGGATTTCTAGCTTATTTGAAAAGTTTTAAAAGTTTGAAAACACGTTTTAAAGAGTACATTTTATTGTTTGCTAGCAAATTCACATTTGGATTATTTTTTCCAAATGATCTCTTAACCTGCTATATGCTTTATATGAAATTGTGGACATCTTCCTACTTTTTTTCAGCATCGTTGGTGTTTGAATTTAAATATATATATACTGACTGCAAGTGTCAGCACTTGGAAAGAAGTAATGCAACAATATTCACAGATGAAACGCTCAATGATTCGAGTTCACTAGTGGTAGTGCAGCAGTTGCAGAGATTCTCATCTGCAATGTAGTTGTGAAACAGACTGTTCTGTACATACACAATATCTGCTTGGTGATGTGAGCAGGGTTCCTGCAGGAGTGTCTCTATTCCCTGTGCTTAAAAGAGGATATTTGATAGACTAAATTTCTAACCCTCATAGTGACTGTGACTGTACCATATCAGAAAATCTCTGTGAATAATCTAAGATATTGCCTATTTGCTGTAAGGAATGTGCTCCTATTCTAGTATTTATTGTGGATTTCTCCTTTATGTTTTTTATGATTAGTCAAATTCGGTAAGCCCTCCACCTAGATGCCTGTGGAGGTCAATTGTTAATCAAGGTTGATTTTGGCATTTTGCAAATGGTTCTTAAAACTTGTTCTTGGACAGATAGAAACAAGGACAAATGTACACAGTGTGTAAAAATTAAGAATTTGCCCAGCCCTTGTATTTGTGAAACCCAAGTGTATAAGAGAACATTAGATAATATGCTTTATTTCTTTCGACCACTTTCAATTATTGATTCTCTGTGATCCATGCGTTTTGTTCTAAGTACTTGTTTCTCTGTTGCTTTTCTACATCCAGACATTCAGAAAATAATGCATTATGCACTAAAAAGTTTAGCAGTGATACATGTTCATTTCACAGTGGGACAATTAGCTATTCCTTCAAAAAGTCCTGTTCAACACATGTAGGTGTTTCATAGATGTATTTTTTTCCACTGGGAAAGATGATTTTGCTTCTGTAAAAACTATACGTATTTCAAAATGAAAACTTATGAATTCTGAACTGTTTTCCAAGTGTTATAAAGGTGTATTTACTCTGGTTGTTCCTTAATGCTATGTGCAATCACTAAGTTAATAATCTGCATGAAGTGAGTAGCATATGTGTAAGTGATCAATTGTACTTTTTCTTTTTCTTTTTCACAGAAATCTAGATTAATTCAAATAGAATGTTCAGTGGTATTTTCAAACTAATAGTTCTGTATTGAGCATGCCAGTTCTGAAAATATAACATGGGTCTCTCTGCTTCCTTTATTTACAATGATTAAATGTGGGTAGCAATTTGAGTTGGCTGGCCACAATGTGTCCTTTCACTACTAGTAGGTACTCAAAAACAGAGCATTCACACTTGTGCTGGGGTACTTGACAAGAAACCTTTTCTACCGTTTTCAGGAACCAATGTGTACACTATCTATAAAAAATTATTTCTAGATGGCAATTCAAAATTTAATTTTCATCTGAGATTTTTTAAAAGATATAGTCCATAAGTGTGTATATAATAAGTATTTAATCTAGAACATGATGTATTCTTCTAGTTGTTTTTACAGTAGGAAAGTTTTCTTCTTGATTTTTCATTGAAATGGACTTAGAGAAACTAGAAAAACACTGGTACAACTAGTTCTCATACATTCATAACAAATGTATTGTTATGTTATTATATATGAGCATACATACTTTTAAAAACAGAGTTTATTTTTAAGTGAAACAGTCTGAGAATATCAAAAGGGAAACAAAATGAGAGCTACATAAAAGCCATAGATATATAGGAAATAAAAATTGTGTTGAGAACAAATAACACTCAGAGAGATAAACATAGGTTTAATTTGGAAAAATATGAAATCTGATAAGTCTGGTAATCTAGGTTCCAGTTTAACTGGGAAGACTCAACGATAGCTGCATGGTTCTTGAAAAGAAGTAGACATCTCTCCTCACTGCCTCTAAGCCTTAACTCAATTAGGTCCAAACCTGTTCTGTTTTCAATCATTAATTTAAAAATATAGATACAAAGACATTGCAGGCTTCTGATAAGGCAAACCCAAGGTAGCAATATGTGAAAAGTAGATATTTTGTTTGAGGATTGGTGGTTAACATCGTGAAACTTAAAAGGAGGAAATAGGGTGTAATCAGAGGGTGAAACAGAGTGCAGTTATAGAAGAAAAGTTTGCAGAGGAGTGTAAGAGGACATAGAAATGAGTCCTAAAGATTACACCTGCAACAGGTTGGAAATGACAAGTATGAGAAAGCAAGCTCAGGTGACAAAGGGAAGGCAACTCCTTGACCTATTTTGTGTTTGAATGACTCACAAGAGTATGAAATCACTAGCATTTACTGCCTTTTGGCATTTTATTTTTAAGTAGGTTGGTTGGATTTTAGTGTTTTCTAGAAAGTTAAGTAATGACCAAAGGAAATATCCTGAAAATTACACATATAAATCTTTACACTTCTTGTATTGATATCATAAGGTAAGGTAGTGAACTGAAAAAAAAACAAACAAACAGAAAAAACCCTCAAGACAAAAAATAGATCCTTAGTGACCAGTTAAGTTTGAACACTTGCAATTGTTGTTCTTTTCTAGGAGAGAATTTAATGTTGAAAATGGTCTATCTCCACTGTATTTCCTATCCATTTTTTTAAATAAAATGTCTGATAGGAGTCACATTGGGATTTTCTGATGATTGTCTGGGACAGTTTGGTAAGCATTTTTTGCTTCAAATTCTTTCATATCAAACTTGCCTTTTATAGAACAGAAATCAACCAAAGACAATTTAAGAAGGTTTTCCAGTACTCCATTTACTTACTCTAAGATTGGAACTTTTTCTTTTTTTTTGAGAGAGAGGTTTTTGCTACAGGGAGCGTGCGCTCGCCAGAAAGACAGAGAGAGACAGAGAGACAGAAAGCGAGAAATCACCCACCCCCTGGGGGGGATGGCCATGCCACAATCCCTTCTCCTCCATTCTCCTCTCGGGATCTTGGGCATGCACGCACACGTGCTCGGCGTGAGTTCAAGCCACCAGGTCCGGGACTCAAGCCACGGTTGACTACATGGGAGTCAGCAACATAGCCATTACGCTAACTACTGGTCCCTAAGATTGGAACTTTTAAATCACCTGCACTCATCTAAACATGTCTTCCTAAATGCTCACTGAAGTTTTTTTTTTTTTTTTCCCCACATTTCTTCCAGACGATACTAAAGTCAATCTTAAGTATTTATTGAGTCACTCATTTGTATTTACTGGCCACTGCATAAAGTGTAACAGAAATATTTTTTAAAATTTAAGTCCCTATTTTATAGGATTTACACATCAGATGCACAAAGAAAGGATATTTGTAAAACACATTCTAGTGTAGGAACTTTAGCATTGAACATATGAAGCAGGTAAGTGAGGTGTGGCAACCTAGTGCTGACTTGAGTAAGAAAGATAAGCTTGCAATAGAGGGAAGAGTGGTGAAGAATGGGCATTTATTGAGTGCAGAGACTAGTACATGTGAGGATTAGAGGAAGAATAATAAATCCTATTTAGCTGGTAACAAGCACATTTGGTTAGTAAGAGCAGAAATCCATGTGAGGACATAACAAAAAATAAGGCTGGGAGAGGTGCTAGAGCATTAATCTGATAGCAGATGTGGAAAGAATTAGGGAGATAGAATGGAGGCACAGAGACCAGCTAGAAGGCTGTTGTCATAGTCCAGGTATGAGGTGATAAGATATGGAGCTAGAGTGGTGACCTATATATGCTCCAGAAAAGAAAGATCTGCAGATCTGAGGATGAAGTGAAATAAGCAGAATTTGGCAATACAAAAAGTGAAAAATGAAGAAAAACAGTGATTCCAAGGATCAAGAAAGTCAGTTGTACCAAGGGAATTATTTTTGAGTGTTTAACTTTCTTAACTGAGCATCCTGACACTGTCAGGATGAGAATAGAGACAATACAATGACAGGTGCATTTGCCACTGGATTAACTCATGAAGCAGTTGGAGAATAATAATGTTCATGAAAGGCAAAGTGCTTCTATAAATCTAGTTTAGAAACCAATAATTACATTCATTCCACTGACTGTAATCCCAAATTCTCAAACAAGTAATTGATAGAGTTTGGTTCTTTAGGTCCTATCTCCTGATTTGATTTAAATTCCTCACGTCACATTGGAATAAAGAATTGTGATCTTTAAAATGAAGGCATTGAAATGATTGAATCAGAGGGAAGTGATCTCCTGGAAGCAGAGCTTGATAATATGTGTTCCCAGTTCCAAAACAGAGAAACTGGACAAGGTATTGAAAGAACAACAATGGATCTGTTGAAATGTGTTGGAGTAGTGGGAAGAAGTGCAGAGTGGTCTTGTGAAGAACCAGAGAAGTGGCAACCT